AGATTTTCTTAGTTTTTAACTAGTGTTGTTCTTCTGCTCCAGGATCTGGTCCAGAATACCATATTACATTAACCGTCATGTGTTCCATCATGTGTTCTTAGGCTCCCCTTAGCTGTAAAAGCTGCTCAGACTTTCATTGCCTGAATATCTTGTCACTTTTGAGGAGTAATAGTAAGGAATTTTGTAAAATGTGTGTCTATTTTTTTGATATTTTTCTTATGATTAGACTAAGGTTATGTGTTTGGGGGAAGAAGACCACAAAGAATGAATACCATTTTCATTTTTGACATATGAAGAATACATATTAGCAACATGACATCACTATTGGTGTTGATTTTGATCATGTGGCTGGAGTAGTTCGCCATGTTTCTCCTTTTGTCATGTCACTGTTAACCTTTCTTTCTTTTTAAAAAAATCTTCTTTTTATACTGTATTTTTTTGAAGGAAGTCAATATGTACAGCCTACACAGAAAGAGTGGAAAATCATGATCCTCTTCAAGGACAGAATATCTACATAAACTACTTGAATTTCTTTTGCATGGAAGATTCATCTTCTCTTCCTCATTTATTTAATCATTCGTTTACGTTAATATTGAATTGTGGATATTTATTTGATGCTTTAGATTTTAATCAGATGCATTTTCTTTCTTTATTTTGTTTTTCAAATTGTTTCAGCTTTGTCCAGTGGAAGCTCTTATTAGTTGACACCTGTTCTCTTTGACATACCCCCTTCAATATGGGGTTTTATTTATATGTATGTATGTATGTATGTGTCTGTCTGTCTATCTGTCTATCTGTCTGTCTATCTATCTATCTATCTATCTATCTATCTATCTATCTATCTATCTATGTTTTTTTTTTGTTTTATCATGTCCTTACTTTCTCGTAGTACAAGATGCTCCAGGATCATTTTGTATATTCCCTCTCAAAGACCAAGAATTGTCATTTCTCCAAAGAGCCCTCCTTTTGCTTAAGAATGGTATTTGTAACCAAGGTATGAGTGCTGGATGTACTCCTTACTAATGGGGTGTGCTGGTTTCTAGCCCTTTTCATCTGACAAAGAAAGGAAATATATGTGTGTATACTAACCCATTCACATACAGATATTTATAAATATTTCTGTATGCAACCATCTGCATCTATATTAAGTAAACTATGAGTTTATGTTGATATCTCCAACTTTAATTCATTACCACATACATCATTCTAGTCTCCTCTGCTTTCCTGTAAACCCCGATTCCAACACTGAGAAACCTTGCTCTTATCATCTACTATCTATGTACCAAATTGTTCATTTCCAGTATACATATAGAGAAATATTAGAATTATATTCTGGATACAAGTCACTTGTTATTTCCGTGATTTGCAGACAGTTCCCTGTAGTCTGTGGCTTGTCTTTTCATTCTTTTATCAGTGACTTACTGATAGGAAGCTTTTAATTTTAATAAAGTTTAACTTATACATTTTGTCTTTTATGGATTGTGTTTCTTTCCTTGCCACAATTTATGGATTGTGCTTTTTTTCTTGTCAAACTCAAGGTCATATAGATTTTCTCCTTCATTTTTTAAATAGAAGTTTTAGGGCCAACCCTGTGGTTCACTCGGGAGAAGGCGGCTCTGGGAGCCCCAAGGCCGTGGGTTCGGATCCTATATAGGGATGGCCGGTGCGCTCACTGGCTGAGCGTGGTGTGGGCAACACCAAGCCAAGGGTTAATGATCCCCTTACTGGTCACACACACACACAAAAAAAGAAGTTTTATAGTGTTTTGTTTTATATTTAGGTCTATGAAACATTTTCTGTTAACTTATGATCCCCTTACTGGTCACACACACACACACAAAAAGAAGTTTTATAGTGTTTTGTTTTATATTTAGGTCTATGAAACATTTTCTGTTAACTTCAGTGAAATGTATAAGTTTTGTGTCCAGATTCTTCTTTTTCCTTTACATGGATGTCCTATTGTTTCAGTGCCATTTCTTGATGAAACTATTCTTTCTCTGTTGAATTGCCTTTCCTCCTTTGTCAATGATTAGTTCACTACATTCATCTGTATCTGTTTTTGAGCAATCTATTTTGTTCCATTAGTCTATATATCTATTATCCTCCAATACTACACTGTCTTAATTATCGCAGCTATATTGAAAGCCGTAAGGACATATGGCATTTCTCTTGCTGTGCCTGACTTGTTTCACTTAATATAATTTTCTCTAAGTCTATCCATGTTATTGTGAATGGTAGTATTTCATTCTATTTTATAGAAGAGTAGTATTCCATTGTGCAGATATACCAGAGTTTCCTTATCCACTCATCTGATGATGGACATTTGGGCTTGTTCCAATTCTTGGCTATTGTAAATAGTGCTGCAATAAATTTGGGAGTACAGGCATCCCTTTGACATGATGATATCTGTTCCTCTGTGTACATTCCCAGCAATGGAATAGCTGGGTCATATGGTAGATTTATCTGTAATTCTTTGAGTAATGTCCATACCATTTTCCATAGAGGCTGCATCATTTTACAGACCCACTAACAGTATATGAGAGATCCTTTTTCCCACAGTCTCATCAGCATTTATCATTCTCAGTCTTCTGGATATTAGTCATCTTAACTGGAGTGAGATGGTATCTCAAAGTGGTTTAGATCTGCATTTCCCAAGTGCTGAGTGATGTTGAAAATTTCTTCACATGTCTGTTAGCCATTGGTATATATTCCTTTGAGAAATACATATTCAGCTCATTTGTCCATTTTTTAAATTGGGTTATTTCGGTTTTGGCTGTAAAGTTGTTTGAGTTCCTTATATATTCTGGATATTAATCCTTTGTCAGATGTATATTTTGCAAATGTTTTCTCCCACTCTGTTGGTTGTCTTTTCACTCTGTTGATTGTTTCTTTTGCTATACAGAGGTTTTTAGTTTGATATTATCCTATTTGTTTATTTTTCCTTTTGTTGCCTGTGCTTTTGGGGTCATATTCATAAAGTCTGTATCCACTCCTACTTTCTGGAGTGTTTTCCCTATGTTTTATTTAAGGAGTTTTATTGCTTCTGGATGTATATTTAAATATTTAATCCATTTTGAGTTGATTTGCTAAAAAAGCATTTGACAAAATTCAAAATTTGTTCATGATAAAGACTCTCTACAAGTTAGGTATAGGTGGAAAGTATCTCAACACAATTAAAGTCATATATGATAAACCCACTGCCAATATCATCCTGAATGGGGAAAAGGTGAAACTTTTCCCTTAAGA